TGAGGGCCAAGAATGATTCCCGCGCGTCCGTCCCGAAGTCAAACGGTCGGTCCTCGCATTGAAGCTTGGTCAAGTGAGCCGCAATCTTCGAGTACCCTTTGATGAATCGTTGGTAGTAGCCGGCAAGGCCAAGGAAAGATCGGATATCTGTAACATTCCGAGGCTCCGGCCAATCTTGGACGGCTTGAATCTTGTCCGACAACGGACTGATGCCTTGTGGAGTGACAAAATGGCCCAAGTATTCCAACTCTTGACGCACGAACTCGCACTTGTCGCGGTTGGCTTTGAACTTGGCACGCCGGAGTCTCTCCAACACTCGTCGAAGATGATCCAGATGTTCCTCCAAGGTCCGGCTATAGACGAGAATGTCGTCCAAGTAGACCAGCACGAATCGGTCCAACATTGCGCGGAACTCGTTGGTCATCGCCGCTTGAAAAGTCACCGGGGCGTTGGTGAGTCCGAAAAGCATCACGACCCACTCGAAGTGCCCATACCGTGTCTTGAACGAGGTCTTGTAGCGATCTTGCGGTCGAATCGAGATTTGATGGTTTCCCGACTTCAAGTCCAGTTTGGAGAAGAACTTCGCGCCGCCCAAGCGCTCCAAGAGGTCGTCGATACGAGGAAGAGGTCCCGCGTTCTTGACGGTTTGCGCATTGAGCTTGCGGTAATCGATGCATAAGCGAAGGTCCTTGTTCTTCTTCCGAACGAAGAGAACAGGCGCACCGTAAGGTGAACTACTAGGCCGGATCCAGCCTTTGTCCAATAAGTCGTCGAGCTGCGCGCGGAGTACTGTAAGTTCCTCCTCGCTCATGCGATAGATGCAACCTTTTGGCGGCACGGCACCGGCCTCAAGAATGATCTTGTGTGAGATCGGCCGATCCGGCATCACGCCGGTAGGTGACTCGAAGACGTCGGCAAATTCGTCGAGCAGCCGCACCACCCGGGAGTCGGAAGACAAGTCCGTGGCTTGAGAATCGGCTGCCGCGACGGTTCGAAGAAAACATAAGCCAATCTCGTCAGTCCGCTCGTAAGCGCAAGTGGCCCGGAAAGATTTGGCGGTTACAACTTGGCACCGGATCGAAGGGTGCGGAGGAGGAATGGTACACGGTACTTCGGTGCCAAACGCGTCGCGAACCGTAAGAGTCCGACGATGGAAGTTGACTGTGTGATCCGCACTAGCGAGCCAAGGCATGCCCAAAAAATGATGTCGAAGTCCGTATCCAAGACGTCGAACGTCACCGGTTCGCATGCATGAGGTGCGAAATAGACCGGGACGGCTTCGATGTAGTGATCAAGGAGTTGTTGCGTCCTTCTGTCCGCCAACTTGATCGACGTAGGGTGTGCCTTCCTTCGAACTTGTGGTCCAAGGCCGACCCTTTGCATGAAGGATTGGCTAATGAAGTTGCGAGTCGTGCCGCTATCCAGCAAAGCGCTGCAGGACGCTTGCCCGATTTGGATGCGGACGTAAAGGAGCGGTGCGTTGTTGTCGTCATACTGCTGCATGCGAAACTTGCGGGCCACCTTGCTCACATAAGCAAGAATGTCCCCCACCGCGACCTCGTCCTCCGTAGGCGAAGTTGGTGGTGCATAGAAGGCCAAGTATGTATTTAGATGAGCGCGAAGAGCGGCGCATTGCGGCTCCGGTAAGCAGCCGGTGGAAGAGAGAGGAAGCCATGCAAAATCCTCGGGCGTCAACGGGTCCAAGTCCTCAATGTTGAACGCGTGCGCCGAATCCCGTGAAGGTCCACTTGAAGACGAATCAATGCAGCTGCTACCGATCGGAGAAGAGACCGCACATACATCTTGTCCTTGGGCTCGTGGAATCAGCGAAGGTACGAGCCGGGCAGCATAGTCCTCGAACGAAGGAAGAATGGGAGGACTTACGACGTCCGCATGTGCCCCGGAACCGAGGGAGGTTACTCGCGCGGT